TTATTCGACCTTTGGAGAGCCAGGGTATTGAGCGGTTACATCCTATGCAGTTCGATCACAAGAAGGAATTAAGAAAACTTAATATGTCTATCCTGGTCAACTTTCTGGACCTCTTGGATATCTTGATAAGGAGTCCAGGGAGTATAAAGCGAGAGGAGAAACTGGAAGACTTGAAACTGCTTTTTGTTCATGTCCATCATCTTATAAATGAGTATCGTCCTCATCAGGCTAGGGAGACGCTGAGAGTCATGATGGAGGTGCAGAAACGTCAGCGTTTGGAAACGGCAGAGCGATTTCAGAAGCACTTGGAGCGAGTTGTAGAGATGATTCAGAACTGCCTGGCTTCCTTGCCTGATGATCTGCCTCATTCAGAGGGAGGACTGCGAGTGAAAGTGGAACCAATGGATACTGATGATGGCAGCAACTGTATTGGACAGATGGAAAAGCAGAGGGAGCGTTCTGGTGCCAAGAGAGATCAGGTTCTAGACAAAGATGCAGCTATGTGTAGCATTATTGATGAAATGACATGAAGGAAATACTTTTTTTTGCTTTTGTTAGTTGACCATAGTAAGAGGCAAAATGGATTCTGAAGGTGTACATTGTATTTTGTTTTGCTGTTGTGTGAGCAGAAAGAGCATTTATTGCATACTTGTTGGAGGTTGTGACTAGGCAGATGAAAATATTTATTATTTTGTGAGCTATGTGTTTATTGTTAGAAACAAAACAGTACCCTTTTTGTTAAATGTATCAAGTGAGCTGGTAGCCACAGATTAAAGTTTGCCTTTTCTGTTTGTTACTTGTCACTTTCTGGTTTTTTGAGTATGTTTCTTTTTTTCCCTTTAAACTGCTTTATAATGTGGAAACACATAGAAGATCTGACAGAGGAATTGCAGTTGACAGTTACTTCATTTCAAATAAGTGCTAGTTGTTTACAATTTAAAGAATGTGTAATTAAAAAATTAGTGTGAACTCTGCAAAATCCATTCCTTTCTAGTTTTGTAATGATAGAACTGTACTGTAGAGAACCTGAGAATTTCTGTATTGTGATGTGGTGTAATTTGCCTTAAAGAGACACACTGTCAGGAATCTCAACAAATAAATGGGTTAAAATTAATTGGATTTTAATTTTCTTATATGTGAATTATCACTGGTCCTGAGCTTACAAAAATGCCTACTCTTTTTTTTTTTTTTAAACGCATAAATACTAACTTGTATATCCTGGATAGTTAATGTACAGGCATGAAGTGAATCATTTGGCACTGCAGATGCTTTGTATTTGCCTTCTCAGGAAGGTTTGAAAGAACCTGGAAGTATTCCATCAAGTGGAAGTTATATCCACCATGTTTAAGGAACATCTGAGTTGGATCAAGCCCCCAT